GGACCCACCAGGATGATGGAGCCCAACCCCTGTCCCTGCACAGGACAACCCCAACCTTCACACCCTGTGTCTGAGGAACCTTAATGAGTGGGATAATTAACACCCAGCTCCCCTGCGCTCTGCAAAGCCACGTTCCCTTTGTGCCTTCCCTGAGAGCCGGATCCGCTTTCGGGGGGGGATCCAGGAGATGGAGAAGGAGGAGGAGGAGGAGGAGGAAGGGGGGTGAGATGAATAATGCATCCGTGGGCACTCGGTGTTGTGTTGCAGGTCGCATGTTCGCCGTTGGCTGCAGCATGGGCCCGGTGATGCATTACTGGTACCTCTGGCTGGACGCTGCCTTCCCGGCACGGGGTGTGCGGGGCCTGAAAACCATCCTGAAGAAAGTTCTCCTTGATCAGCTGGTGGCATCGCCCGTCCTGGGTGCCTGGTACTTCCTTGGTATGTGGTGACACCCGCCTTGTGTCAACGTCACCCAGGAGTGAGCCTGGGCCACGTTGTCGGTGACGTGTTACGGCACGTGGGTGCCGGTGTGATGCCTGTCACCCTCCCTTGGCAGGGTCACCCTCCCTTGGCGGGGTGGATGTGGGTTTTCCAGGGCTCCTTCTCTCCTGTTGGTCCCAGCACTGCCTTTCCCTCCCACAATTTGGTGGTTCTTTGGCATTTTTTGGTGTTTGGCACAGCTGAGATGCCAATTCTCATCCACACTCCCCAGCGTGGAGCCTCGTGGGCGCTCCCATCCCCACTGACGTCCGTCTGTCCCTGCAGGTATGGGCACACTGGAGGGCCAGTCTTTAGAGGAGAGCTGGGACGAGCTGAAAGAGAAATTTTGGGAGTTTTACAAGGTAAATACACCCCTCCTCGAGTTCTCCTTCCCGCTCCTGGTGTTCACCGGGCTCCGGCACGGCACTCCTGGCTTCTCCTTGTTCAGCCTGGAGAAAAGAAGGCTCCGGGGAGATCTTATAGCGGCCTCCCAGTACCTGAAGGGGCTACAAGAAAGCTGGGGAAGGACTTTTCATAAGGGCAATTAATGACAAAACAAGGGGAAATGGGTTTAAACTGAAAGAGGGGAGGTTCAGATGAGATATTAGGAAGAAGTTCTTCACTGTGAGGGTGGTGAGACACTGGCCCAGGTTGGCCAGAGAAGCTGTGGCTGGGCCTTCCCGGGAGGGT